ATAACGTTCAAATCTCAAATGATTATAAATATTTTATAAATATTGTTGTGCCCGCGCGTGAAAGAAATAACTCGAGATATACTAAACGAGAAAAGCTTTATTTACAGCCTAGAAAAACGGATCTTAATCAATCCAAAATAAATAATCGCACGAATTCGCTTTACGTCCGTACGCTGTGACAGGACTAGAGCGACTCTCTGATTATTTCAGTTGTTAGTAAACAAATTCCTTGACAACGATAACAGCTGTCAAACACTCTCTATATGCCTTCTTCACAGAGCGTCTTCTCCCAAGAGCGTGGGAACAATACGTTCCCCAAAGGTGTGGGCACAACAATATTATGTTTTTAATCTTATTATGCCAAACCATTGACGACTAGTGCACAATTTCGTTTCACAGGTACGCGAGTGACTATACCGACATGCCTGCTATTATCGACATTGATGATATTACTGGCGCTCCTAGCAACTGGCAACCCATCATACTGAGCTGTATGTTGATGCATCACCCTGTACATACGATACATGAATTCTCGCCTAAGGTGCCACCAGGATATAAGATATCGGAAACATCGACACATGTCATTTACCTTCCAATCACCGCACGGAGCATTACAGATTTAACGGTGCGTGTAGTTGATCAAGAAGGACAGTCGCTCGATTTTCGAGGAGAAGAGATTACCGTTAGATTGCACATGCGACGGCGACGATAATAAACGTAATCTATGAAATGCTTGTGGTGAATCAAGTGGAACAGGTGAAACAAGCTGGAAATATACTTTTTACGAGATGCGCGATTAACAGTACAAAATCCCTCGTTCGAAAGAAACTCAGCGTATTGAACGCTGAATTTTTGAAATCTCTGGGATTCATCGTACGAAACGATTGAGAAAGATGATTGACATTTCGAACACTGGAAGTGAACCGGTCTTTGACGAGCGTATCGTCAAGATTGAGACACATACGTACAATCCATACGCTAACACAACGTTTGGATATAGCGACGAGATACGAATACCCATGCAATAGCAGGATTTATACATATTGCCATGCGAGAGTTATCTCTATGTCGAGGGGAAGGTGACGAAACAAGTTGCAGTCGATGGTGCGACTGTAACGTTGGGATATAATGGCGTTGCATTCATGTTTGATGAGATCCGTTATGAACTGGATGGTGTGGAGATTGATCGTAACAGAAACGTGGGAATAACTTCAACGCTCAAAAACTATGTATCGATATCTTCAGACAAAAATGCCATCATAAAAAATGCCGCGTGGGATACGACTGACACTATTTCGCCGGACGGGTACTTCAACTTTTGTGTGCCGCTCAGCGTGTTGCTAGGATTCTGTGAAGACTACAAGCATATAGTGATTAACGCGCGTCACGAATTGATTCTATTACGATCGCGCAGCGACAACAATAGTCTACTAGGATCTTCAGCACTGGATCCTAAGATTGAGCTGTTCAAGATATGAGAAGAATGGCGAATGCCTCGCGTAATCTTGAACGATATCAATAAATTTTCCATGCTGAAAACTTTGGAGAACGGACAATACCTGAGTATGAGTTTCCGCTCGTGGGATCTGTATGAATTTCTTCTGTTACAAAGCACGACCAAACACCTGTGGACCACCAAGACTGCTACTAATTGGGAGAAATCTCGATACGTTATCTTTGCGCTGCAGACTGGTCGGAAGAATGTCATGTCGGAAAATATAACTCGTTTCGATGACTGCGAATTGATCAATATGAAGCTCTATTTGAATTCAGAGTGTTATCCGTACGATGACATAAATTTGGACTTCGCAAAAAATAAATACGCAATACTTTACGATACGTATAGACGTTTTCGTAAATCGTATTATAGATGCGACAGTGCTAAAGTATGGTTAGCAATTACCGATTTTCGGCGTCTAGGTCTTTTCGTGGTTATCAATTGTTCGCGTCAAAATGAGTCCGTCAAGAGTGCCACTATGGATGTACGGATAGAATTTGAGTGTAAGGAGAATATACCGGCGAATACTACTGCATGTTTTCTCATCCTGCATGATCGTGTAGTTGAATACAACCCGCTAACCACCATAGTGCGCAAACTTAACTAACATCAGAAAGTATGTACGAGAAAAGAATAATACATGCAACAAAGTGCTATAAAGAACATTTCTCTCCCGGACGTGTCGAAGAATATTTCACCATGGATGTGCCGACTTTTGTGGATCTACAAGGGTACATGGTTGGAAAGAGATTTATTGTAAAAGAAGCGGCGATACTGAAGAATGGAACTATTCTTTCACACTACATCTTCACGAGTCCCATGCCATGGCATCTGCTCACAAGATCAGACAAATCGAGAGCCTACTGGTTAATGGCTAATCATCATGGATTACAATGGGAAGATGGAACCGTCAAATACTGCAGAGCTGAATATTTGATTACTACAGCTGTGGTGGGTGATATGTATGGCGAGCTTGAAGATGTCGCATCTCAACTTGTGTATGTAAAGGGACATGAGAGGCGGGAATGGTTGTTACACTTTCTGGATGACAATGTGAGAAGCAACGTGATCATTAGGATCGTGGACACCGATTACGATGACATGCCTTCTCTGCAAAAATTGAATAATACTTTTCGATGTAATAATCATATGAAAAATTGTGCCTTACAAAACGTACTAAACATTTTCAATTGGTGGTCTTGGAAAGAATTGTACGACGCTTAATAAAACATTATTTCAAATGTACAGATGTTTCTTTCAACACGCTTATCCCTTTCACCTCTTAGGATTTTATATGATAATTGTGTTTGATAAAAATACAGTTCTTTATTTGCAGTATGATGATTATTAGACGTTCGAGAGACGTTAGATAGACATTTGATAGACGTTCGATAGACGTTCGAGAGACGTTCGAGAGACGTCCGATAGACGTTCGAGAGACGTCCGATAGACGTTCGATAGTAATCGCGGGGTCCAGGTTCGATAGTAATCGCGGGGCCCAAGTTCAACCCTACTTACACCGCCGCCATGTTTTTTCTTTTGACGTATGCGTGACGTCACGGTCGCCATCTTACCCGTAAACATGACGTCTACTAGCAGCAGGCGACGGTGGTCTAGGAGGTTGGAGCGTTCGATAGTAGCCGCAGGACTCAGGTTTGAGTCTAGCAACACCCGGCCCGTTTTTCTCTGGACATGTGCGTGACATCACGGCCGCCATCTTACCCGTAAATGTGACGTCTACTAGCAATAGGCGACAGTGGTCTTAGAAGGTTCGAGCGTTCGGATAGCAACCGCGGGGCCCAGGTTTGAGCCTACCTATATCCCGGCACGTTTTTCTCCGAACATATGCGTGACGTCACGGCCGTCCGCCATCTTACCCATAGAATCAAACAATTCTGGGGAGGATGGAGGGTATCAATAAAGAGGAGGTATCAATAGGGGGAGGGGTATCAATAAATAGGGGGGGTATTAATTATAATATTTCATTAAAAAGGTCAGGTTCAAAAAGATTTCATTAAAAAGGTCAGGTTCAAGAGATTTCATTAAAAAGGTCAGGTTCAAAAAGGTTTCATTAAAAAAGGTCCGGTTTTTGAAAATTCATTTTAAAAAGTGGGTTAGAATCCCCCTTGTTTAACTACTATCATCAATCGCGCTAAATTCACCCATAGGTTACATCCTGGAGGTCGACTTGGAGTATCCGCAACATCTGCATGACGCGCACAGACTTACCATTCTGTTCAACGAGTGGCAAATCTCCGAACAAAAGGCAGAACAAGCTTCTCGCAATTATGCGATAAGCAGCGTTATGTGATTTATTATCTCAACCTGCAGTAGTGCACGCGTCACGGTCTTCGTATTGGAAAGATATACCGCGTACTCAAATTTACTCAATCCCCATGGATCCGCGATTGTATCGAACTTAATACGCAGTTTAGAACATGCGCGACAAACGATTTCGAGAAAAATTTGTACAAATTGATGAACAACGCGGTATTCGGCAAAATCATGGAAAACGTTCGTAATCACGTAGACATAAAATTGTTGACAAAATGGGATGGACGATGCGTGCTGAGGCAATGATCGCGAAACCAAATTTTCATAGCAGAAGTCTTTTCGGAAAATTTAATCGTCGTTGAGCTGCGTAAACTCCAGGTGAAATTCAACAAGCCGATCTATATGAGTATGTATATCGTCGACATATCCAAAACCTGCTTGTATGAATTTCATCACGAGTACATGTCTCCCATCTATCAAAACAGATGTAAAGTAATGTATACCGATACTGATAGTTTAATCTATCATATCCAATGTGATGATATTTTCGAACACATGAAACGCGATATTTCTAAATTTAATACGAGTGATTATCCCGCTGATAACGCGTACGGTATACCGCTTGCCAACAAGAAGATACCGGGTCTGATGAAAGATAAAAATAACGGAGCGATGACGGAATTCGTCGGACTCAGAGCAAAGATGTACGCGCTAAAGGTAGACAGCTAAAAGGACATGAAGAAGGCGAAAGGTGTCAAGACCGACGTCGTAACGCGAACTATAACATTTGATGATTATATGCAGTATCTGAAGGACGAAGTCGAAAAGCGGCGTCGTCAATCATGCATACGATCCAAAATGCACAAAGTCTACACCGTGTCCGAACTGAAAACTGCTCTGAGTCCGTATGATGACAAGCGGTATATCGTACCAGACTCAACAGACACTTTACCCTGGGAACATTACAGGATACTGTTGTAAACTAAAAAAGCGATCATTGTACATACATATTTGTTTGTAAGAAATATTGTAACTATAATAAAAAGATAAGTTATTACAAGCTGTTTATAATAGGATATTGTAATAAAAAATATTATATTATTATTATAATAAAAAATAAAAAATGTTTATAATAAAGAATTAGTTACAATACATTTTCTTTGTATATCCAAGAGTTGTGTGAGTCGTCAAATCCCAACCATTTCACTAAAACCTTGTCGCCGCTTTTTCAGAACACCTTTTCCACGAGATAAACGTCAGGAGTAGCAGCGCGAGGCAGTTCGTATTCGTAAAATCCTCCGGCAATAGGCTTTCTGCGAAAATCCTCAAGCAGATAAGTCACCGGATTGGTCGCCTGTACTTTGATGATCTTAAATACTTCGGTGGTCCAGTTCGAAGTGTAACCTTTCTCGAAGATAGTTTTGAATTTGCTCACGCGTACCGAGCCGCCTACTTTGAATCTCGCAGGCGCTGCGATCTTTAGATTGTTGTAGACTGTGAGTAGGAGCTTATCGGCGATCTTGTAACATCGACAGGACACATACCGATAGTTCAATGCTTTCGCGCGTTGTATTTGGCAACGAGACATGGTAACGAATCGATCCATTTGTATGTTCTATTCAATGTAAACAGTTTCCACATATCGTTCTTTAACGTATGATTGAATCGTTCCACAACAGACGCCTTCATTACCGAGTACGTAGAATAATGATTGATACCGTATTATTTAAGGAGTTTCTGCAGATCCGCGTTATAAAATTCTTTTCCCTGGTCCATTTGCAAATTTTTCGGACATCTTCCAGAGTTTTGAAATATTCTGTCGAATACCTCGACTACTTCTTTGCCGCTCTTGCTCTTCAGCGGTACAGCCCACGCATATTTGCTCAACACATCGATAATAGTGAGTATATAGTGATAGTTGTCGTTGAATCTAGAATAAAGACGCATCTCTATTAGGTCAGCTTGCCATAAATCATCGTATCCGCGCACTATGACGCGTTTACGGGGAAAATGTCTTCTCGCTGAAGCGTGCAACTCCTCCACTAACCGCTGCTTTTCGTTACCGATGAGCTGCTTCTCTGAACTTTTCTTCTTTTTGTTAAATTTTGATGATTGCTTCACCATTGCAGCTCGTGATGATTCTTCTCGTGCTTATGTCGACACTATATGTCGACTTAACTGCAATATTCTACTTTTATATTTCCCGCGATTTCTTTATCTCTGAACCTGTCCAGTCTAAAATTTGTTCTATGTTCTCATGAATGCTATTTATGCTCTGTATGTTTTTCCTCCGGTAGTCTTCCAGCCAATCCTTCAATTTTTTAACATTCTTATCTACATACTGCTTCTTCTTAACGTTACTCTCATGCAATAGAAGCTTTACAGCATTTATATTTTCATCATATATTGCTTCATCTTAACATTACTCCCATGCAGTAGAAGTTTTACAGACTTTATACTCTCATCCATATAATTTTTGTGCACAGCGTCATTGAAGGCTTCCGGCCTCGGTACATTATGTATCGCGTGCAGTATTGCATCAAAACATTTGCCACCAAAATCTTTACTATTGGCGAATAGACAAAGGGCATTTTCATGTACATATCGTTTGGTTGCAACGTCGATCAAATGATTTCTCACACCTGCAACACATTCTTCCACGTATCATTTGGTTGCAATGTCACTGTCGGCTTCAGGTTGCGCTACATGTTTTATCTTGCGCGATTTTGCAGCGTTTAAACAAAGGGCATTTTCATGTACGTAATTTTCAACGTGTTTATTCCATTGATGCACTCGATCAGTTTTCGAACCATTGCTTTCTAGCAATACTCCAAACTTATGCATCGACATTTCGGAGCAAGCTGTACCGACTGATTGACTCGTGTCAGTGCTACGCTGTTTAATAAAACCAGCTTCGCGGAGTTCTTCGATAATCGATAAAATTTCGTTGTCGTGAGCGTTGTTGCTAGCTTGGCGTGAAGCTTCAAGCAATCGCAGACGATCCACCAGCTCGTTGGGATTATCCCAATGCACGTAATCGATATTGCTGTCATTTAAAGTCATCATAGTTTGTGATGCGTATAAACCTTTTCCTGCAACTTTATTGCTCGACACACGTGATACTAAGGGAGCGATTATATGTTTATATTTGTGTCCCTTATTACCGAGTATTGGAGGTACCCGCGTCTGTGAGTATTCGTCGCCAATAGTATACTTTTGTATTTTTGCATATCAGCTTCGGTGTACACGGCATCGTCGGGGATTCTTTTGAATATTAGCTCGTAAAGACCTAGTGTTCCAATGTATCCTGTATTCGCCTATGACTTGCGACGTTTTTCACCAAAGGATCGCTAATGATCCGCGCAAGATATTAATGTCGCAGAATTCCGCTGGTAGCGAAAGCCGCGAGTCCGATTCGACCGAATCCCCTAATTCAGAAAATATCGCTAATTGTTGAACGCCAGGTACGGAGACGGCCATATCACCGATCCTCGTGATTGTTGCCAAAGTATCCGCCGTCGGATCGCAACTCCCAATTATCGCCCCGTGCGGAACCGACTAGCTCGGAGTGATTTAAGTCGGAGATGGGCGTGTTCGCAAAATAGATCTCGTCGCGGAATTAATAACTTTTTCGGCTGCTGGTTACGAACACACAAATAAATTCTATATGCTACAACATATAGCTACAACATCGTGAGCTTGACGGCTAATCCCGTCAGACCGTATTCGATCACAAAGTATGCTCGATTGTATACAGTTCGAGTCGTCGTCGGATTTTCCGTCCGACGGATTCCGCTAATAATTTTGATCGCCAAAAATGGGTTGGATCTCGACCGCACCAACCGTTCGGACAGCAACCCAAAGTTCCCGACGGAACGCGTACTCTACCAGTTCGCGCACCCGCCACATACATGCGTGTCACGCGTGACCGGCTTGTGCTTGTAGCGTGCGTCGGGGCATGTCCTTTTTCGCGACGCGAGACTAGGTACTTCGACTCTACTTGTCGTTCGCCGTCGAGCCCGGGCCACGGGTCTCCCTCGCCAAGAATTCGCAAAACTACCGGGACCGGGATGCGGCCCTTCGCAATAACACTAATTAGGGAAACCTGGCCACGGCCGGCTGCCTAATGGCGGCGCGACTTCCTACTTCGCGGGGTGCGCAGAGAACTTGGGAAGCTTATGCTACGGCCTCCTCCTCCTTGCCCGGTTCTATCCTTCGGCCGGCTAGAACGCGGTTGCCTCTTGATCGGCGCCGCTCGCGGGCTCGCACGTCCACTCGCTCGTCGTTCTCTCGCCCGATCATCCCTTCGCTCGTACGCTCGCTCGTTCGTGTCGTTGGTCGCTCGCTCGCTCGCTGTCTATCGCTCGCAGGTTGAAATCTACGTAATTTACGAAATTTCGTAAATAGGCCAAATCCTTCCGACTTCCGCATGGATATCACCTCGGGGCCCTCCACTCGCGGGACCTCCCAGGGAGCCTTGCGCGGTCCTGCCGCCGTGCCCCGTCGCTCCACGGAATCTTCTAGACTTTTCCAGCTGTTGGCTGCGAGTCTTCGCAGATTAACTCCGCGACCACCGACGAATGCAGACTCTTGGTGGCTTCCGCCCAAAATCTTCCAAAAGCTTCGGGCTCCACGGCTTCTCCGTCAACTCGCTCTAGCACGCCAAAATCTCCGGGTAAATCCCAGCATACGCTAACATTCGCTCGGAACCCGCGGCCGCTCCGCTCGCACGGGCGTCAAATCGACGGGTTTGCACAATTTTAGACGCTCTGTTCGGGCGCCCCAGGCTGCCATGTTACAGATTATATTATCGTCTCTGTCCACACCGATACGTTTATCACCGAGCATCGCTCCATCGTTACTAACAAGGGGAGGATGTATCGACCGGGAAACGGTTTGGAACGAAACTTACGGAGTTAATAGTACTTGGCTACTAATAACTCATGGTAATAGCATACGATGCACTACTTCTTCGTTTTCGAGAAAAAAACGGTCTAAAGAAAAGAACCAACAAAGTGTACGAGTTAGTAAGAAGGATATTCAACGAAGCGGCGTAGCGAAACAGCGAAAGTAACGGACTACCGAGCTGACGGCTTAGGTTCGACCCCTGCGGTTTTTTTTATTCTGTAAACATAAAAATGAAACAGAAAACATTAATAAATAACAAAACTGCGTTTCTTAAATATATTAATGTTTGTTAAATATATTATTGATAATGATTTTAACTGATAATAATTTAAACTGTAAAAAAAAATCCTAAATCTTATCTGTAAAATATATAGTGTATGAGAAAATTTTTATATAATAATTGCAATGGAAATAGGAATAAAAATATTGTTATGAAATATATAGGAGTGCTATTAAACTAGTATGAGATAATTTTTCGTAATCTTATATCGTATATATAAAATATTGGTTTTTGTTACAACTCTCTATGTTGTGTTGAAGCTCTTTCTCTTTTCTGGCAATCCCCCTCCAAAAACTTTCTTTGTATCGTTCTGTATCAAACGACCATTAGGAATGACGAAATTATTCGAGGGTCGGAACAGTCGTCAATAGAGCAAGCAGCAGTGTGCGTTTACAAGTGAAACAAAGCAATGCGGTGATCATATTTAAATTACATATATCATAACAATGTCAGAGAATCCTTCAACAAGCAAAATAGTTGATGTAGAACCGCTAGAAGAAAGATCTTTTGAAAATGAAGATTTTAAAGGTGAATTCATTAATGCTCTCGTATATGCGAATTCTATTTACGAGAGTAATGAATTATTATCAAAAAATCCTCCAGCGAAAATATAATATATTTTTACTCCTATTTTCATTGCAATTATTATATAAAAATTTTTTCATATACACAGTCTGTCCAAGATCCAATGAGACTGGTCTAAAAAAATACAAAGCGTTTATTATTTTGATTTTTTATTTTTGTTTATTCAAAATAGTCTTCTTCTGAGTCAATACAGCGCTGGAAACGTTCAACAAATTTTTCGAAACATTTTTTATACTCATCGGCTGGAATGGCCTTTAGTATGGCGGTCGAAGTCTTTTGGATGACCGGGATGGTATCGAAACGATTTCCTTTCATTGCCAATTTCAGTTTGGGAAATAACCAGAAGTCGCACGGAGCCAAATCAGGTGAATACGGTGGATGATCGATAACAATGATGCCTTTTTTGGTCAAGAATTCACGTACCATGATGACTTTGTGCGATGGTGCATTATCGTGCAACAAAAACCAACTGCCTGGCTCTCGATATTCCGGTCGAACTCGTGGAATTTTGGCCCACAATCGTTGTAGAACTCCCAGATAATATTTTGCGTTCACCGTCTGACCTTCTGGGACGAATTCACTGTGAACAATTCCCTTTGAATCGAAGAAAACGGTCAGCATTGTATTGATTTTGCTCTTCTGAAAGCGTCATTTTTTCTCTTTTGGCTCTTCTGGTGACTTCCATGCCGCACTCTGACATTTTGTTTTTGGCTCGTATTGAAAACACCACGTTTCATCACCAGTTACAATGGCTGACATGCTTGCCGGATTCCTTCGGGACATTTTTAACATGTCTTTGCAATGCTGAACTCTCCAATCTTTTTAGTCGTCTGTCAGAGTGTGTGGCACGAAGTGCGCACAGACCTTTCGTTTGCCCAAATCTTCGGTCAAAATTCGATAGACTGTGCTTTTCAGTATCCCAGTTTCCTCTTCGATGAGTCTCGCAGACACACAGCGGTCGCTTCGAAGAATTTCTTTGACTTTCTCGATGTTTTCTTCATTACGAGTGGTTTTTGGCGGCGGTGCTCGGTCATCGTCTGCAAGGTCCTCACGACCGTCACGAAATCGGCCAAACCAACGGAAAACCTGTGCACGGGACATGCATTCATCCCCGTACACATATTTTAGCGTTTCGTACGTTTCTGCACCACTTTTACCCAATTTAAAACAGAATTTAATATTCGCTCTTTGTTCCATGTTGGTTTTTCGACCGACGTACACAAAGTGACTTTACATAAAATGTCAAACCACAGTGAAATATCAACCAAATTCGCTTAAATTTTGAGGTTAAGTAGATGAAGGGTAGAACATTCACCTACCATCATTCACTCATAGATGTCGTTGCGTTAAG